TCTGTTTGCCGTGTACGCCACACACACTTGTGTGCGTAAAATGTGTGATGTTGTGTTTAATATTTTATTTTTTTTTCTTCTTCTTTTTTTCTTTTTACTATGTATTTTTTATGTTTATGGTTTAAATGTACATGTGGCGTATTTGAGCAATAAATGTTTTCTTTCTTTCTTCCTTTCTTATATAAATTATAATGTTGCAAGCTGTGTAACATTTATGCAATTCTTATAAACTCACTTATGTGTTTTTGTAGCATATTAGACTGGCAAATTTTAATAATTTACGTCCAATAGTCTCTGAGGATTAAAAAAAACTTGTATCAAGCAGACATAGAAGAACAGATACTAAGATGATGCTAGAGGTGATCCAATTTTGCTAATTTTGATACAGAGTAGTATTAATGATGTACCTAAGTTAAAGCCTTCGTGAGCCTAGCAGCGGGTAAAAAGCTTGCTAATAGAATTGTGTTTAAAAACGGTCTAGTGGTCAAAATTCGACAGTAGTTAATAAAATTCTTAAGTTTGTATAGTAAGCGAGCTATATTTCAATTTCTATTGTACATTAATATATATAAAACCAGACATGTATCTAATATACAAAATATAAAGTAAATACTTTTTTCACCTTGAAATGCACTCCACAGACTATTTGAAACGAATCTTTTAAAATCACACAAATTCGCAGCTCATTCAGTCCATCTTATTTATCCGCAACATTCAGTCCATCTTATTTATCCGCAACATTCAGTCCATCTTATTTATCCGCAACATTCAGTCCATCTTATTTATCCGCAACATTCAGTCCATCCTATTTATCCGCAACATTCAGTCCGTCTTATTTAACCGCAACATTCAGTCCATCTTATTTATCCGCAACATTCAGTCCATCTTATTTATCCGCAACATTCAGTCCATCTTATTTATCCGCAACATTCAGTCCATCTTATTTATCCGCAACATTCAGTCCATCTTATTTATCCGCAACATTCAGTCCATCTTATTTATCCGTAACATTCAGTCCATCTTATTTTTCCGCAACGTTATTCAGTCCATCTTATTTATCCGCAACATTCAGTCCATCTTATTTATCCGCAACTTTATTTATATTCAGTCCATCTTATTTATCCGCAACATTCAGTCCATCTTATTTATCCGCAACGTTCAGTCCATCTTATTTATCCGCAACATTCAGTCCATCTTATTTATCCGCAACGTTCAGTCCATCTTATTTACCCGCAACATTCAGTCCATCTTATTTATCCGCAACGTTCAGTCCATCTTATTTATCCGCAACATTCAGTCCATCTTATTTATCCGCAACGTTCAGTCCATCTTATTTATCCGCAACATTCAGTCCATCTTATTTATCCGCAACGTTCAGTCCGTCTTATTTATCCGCAGCATTTTAAATTCTTTGACGACATTCCACTCTGAGCGACTGTTTGAACACAGACTTTAAAGTCTTTAACATTGGCAGTATAAGCTCTCTCATAGAATACCAGCATACTCCCTGCCAGCAGTCATGTCGGCGATGCTGAGCAGGAACTCGGCGTGGAGTGCTGTAGCCATTTTCTGTGAATATGTTATGGTACAGTTTCGATAGAGGACAGATCCCACTCATAGACGACGTCGCCGAGGCATACGTCACAGCCCTCCCCTTGATGATGGCATTCGCCTACCAGAAAGGGAGCTTGGGGGGTTACGGGCGGAGACCCCGAACATCTTGTAATGTAACCCCTGAGGAGGGCGATGACTCAGAAGTGGTCTCGAGCACCGTGATAGCACTGCGAAGGTTTTGGGGGCAGTAAGGATTGCCCCCGGAACGTGCTTTAGTAAAACAAAGCGAGAGAGTGTCCCCGGTTGCGTTCAGAACGGAACTCATTTACGCCAATAGTGACCACCGTGGAGTTTTGGCTGGTAGGAGTCCGGTATAACCTTTCTGTTATCCCCGCAGCGGAAAGCATCCATGAGGATTTCCCCACGTTAAAAAAGAGTACCAGTCTAAAATAGCAGCTTAATGCTGCAATGTTTCTTATTAATTTTAGAGAACCGGAAACCTTTTTACTAAAACAAAACATTACATCTCAGTCTTCAGGGTCAACAACGCATCTGCGTTTTGATTCGTGCCAATTATTTTTAACATATATTTTGTCTATATTACAAAAAACTAATCAATATACGTCCAGCTATTATATTCCTATTAAATTATATTCCTGCTAATCGAAGGATTTCTTTTCAAAAGATAATAAGTAACTAGAATGGATATAGAATTTCAGCAGTACATTTTAAGAAAGTTTCTGTTAGATAAATTCATACATGCGGCGGAAAGCACTGTGCGCATACATTTTATATTAAACCACGCACAATACAAGAACTCCCGCTTTTAACCTTCGCCGGATCAGTGCATACCGCACGTCAGAAATTTGTCTTGTAAAGATGTCAGAAGGTACGTTCCTCATACATTTTGTAGTAGGCGCCGTTCACCATTGCAGATTCCGAAAGCATACGCCCGCGTTGTACGCAAGTATTAGGGGTGGGAATGACAAAAATTACCTCATTTTTACATGGCAACTCATCATGCTACATACCTTTAATTGCGAATTTTTGATTTGATATGGGTATGGACACATTTCAGTAGGTAGTATTTAAATCAAATAAGAGCAACGTTATCGGTTGAGTTAGAGTATTGTTTAGGACTAATAAAGAACATCTTACCTAATAGGATGGTACGTCATTGAATGAATATGGAACAACCCGTTTGTTAATAACGAAGGTCCAAAAATACACATGCTTACGAGGTATTAGTGTTAAATAGGATTACCTGCATTGAAGTAGTATACTACGTATTAGAACAGACACTGCGTACAAGTTATTTGCGGCAGTGAGGGGCGCGTGGTCGAAGGCCTAATTAAGCTTGTTTCTTTTTTAATTCACGAACTATGTAAGCCATTTTCTTTTTAAAAGGCCGTTTACACACCTCCATTTTCCCTGGTGTTGCAGTTGTTAATGGGTGGCGGCAGTCACTTATCATCAGGTGAGCTGGCAAAAGAGACCGCATCCCGTCCCAATCAGCTGACCTATAGTGCCATTTTGCATTTTTTTATTTAAAATGTGGGTGCTAAACCAGCATAGAGTCCACATGACCTCTACTCGTACATCCATCACGGATTAAGAATAAAATGCAGATGCGTTGTCACCCCAGAAGACTAAGACGGAATGCCTTGATGGGAGCAAAAAAGGTCTCCTGTTCTATACGCTCACCATACAAAAAACAACAGTATTGAGCTGATATTTTAGTTTAGTGTTCTGTGAGCACGATGGTTATGATCACGCTGGTCATTCCCCTTTCGAGCCGACGCATTCGTGCTAAAACTACGAGTATATAGCTGTGACATATATAGGGGCTGTTTCACTTAAAAAATAAAAATCTCTATGTATACTCTTAAAATACTTTTATTTATTTTTCACAAGTCATTTCAGGCAGTATATCAAAATAATAAAATAAATTATTAGTACGTTAAATAAAAATCAACTTGATGCTTGATTCGAAATATTAACTGCATCTAATTTTTCTAGGAACTCTGCTGCAGATTGTGTTTATTCTATTTTACTTTCAGTTAAAGATTGATCTATGGATCAATTCAGGTGGTTGATTAGGTGTTCGAAAAAATTGAAGTTATAAGGCTTTTATTATCCGAATCGCATTGCATTTAAGGCTTATTTGGAGCACGTATAGTTTGCGATGGCCCAATTAGTATTGATGAGTTTACTGATAAGCAGCTGATGATTTTATAGTTTCGGTGGCAGATATGGTACAGCTGATTGGTATGGAATAGGTGACCGATTTGGTACAGATATTTATTTTATTTATTTATTTATTTTTATTTATTTATTTATTTTATCTTCAAGGGAAACATACATAATTTTAGTCTAACATACATTTAATAAATCTTACATTTAACAATAATGTTTCCACAGTTAAGTAGCTCATCGACAACAAGCTAACATCATGACATACTTAGGTGAGTAAAAACTAAAGTTAAGTCAAAGTAAAGTGTAAAATTAAAGTGAAATATTAATTTAACTATTATCCATTACCGTTTCAATTTCCTTTTTAAACTACCCATATGGCAAAGAAAATATATCAACATATCAACGTACAGCATATATTTAATGAAATCTGGTTGTTCCAGCATTGTTATTTATCAGAATCCGAATTCAAACGTAAAGAAATAACTTTTTTTCAGAAAGCTCGACTATAAGAAACAAATAATTGAAATAAATTTTGTTTGCAAATAGTATGTGGTTTTATTGCCTCAAAACTCTTTACTCTACCAGTAAAGCGAGGTCTATGATAGTACTACCACTTCCGAGTCAATGCGTGTCACAGTGTCAAAGCAATGGGTTATGGCGCTGAGGGACGCGGGTTCGAATCTCGTACGGAACTAATAATAATGTCCTCCAGACCGAATTTCGGCCACGGCGACCTGCCTCAACGGAGGCTAGCCATCGGCGCAGGACAAGATTATAGTGCCCAAGTGTATGCGCAAGCACAGGTACACTCTCTATTCCCTCACTCTTATAATCCGATGGGACGGTAAACCGACACGACTGGAGAGAGATCTGGCGCAGGACCAACGGCTTTACGTGCTTTCAGAGGCACGGGGGTGAGACACCACCAACTTCCTGACTCCGGGCAACTACTGAGAATTTCTTGGCGGAAAAACTCAATAATTGATTGTTTGGCCCGACCTGGAATTCGAACCCAGGACCTCATGATCAGCAGTCGCACTACTACAACCACTAGACTAGACGAGGCAGACCATACATACACAGTTTATAGAATAGAACTAGTATGTGTATGGCCTACAATTGTTGTCTCTGTGAAATTTATGTGTGTAAATATCCTCTATGATACGATACAGGTGAAAGTTCTAGGGTGGGGGTGACGTTTTAAAAAAAAAACTAATGCAGCGCGGGTGATTGGCTAGGGATGACTGACATTATGATATATCAGATAATGTCTCAAGCTTCTGGTCTGGTTTAGGTGACGTGTTAGTTGCATGACATGAACTTGGTGACGGTGAAGAACAAAATTCACCGGAGTTATCAAAAGAACAAGACGTTGAGCTGGCTGGCAGGAAACGAACCCCGTTCCTAGTCAATGTTCCCATTGCGCCTTCGAAAAGGACGTCATTTACAATTTTCTCGGCGTAACGCTTTTGGTCGTGCGCTAAGCGGCTTAACTTGATAGCCCAGCTTTTTGCTATTATGTCGGATTCATTGTCAGATCTTTTGGAATATTTGGATGCTGTGTTCACTAAATCATCCGTTAATGTATTTCTTCTTTTCTTTTGTAGCGTCTTTTTTTGTTGTAAGGGCGATTGCTGTAATAAAATAAATCAATAAATGGACTGAGGCATCCTCAGGTGATGTAGATTCTGGGGTGGCTGACCGCTATAGCGAAGGCGAAACACGTGTCGTATTATCGTCGACGGTGTATCTTCCCTAGTGTTGGGAGTAGTGGTGATGGGATTTGTGATGACGGCTTTGGTGCATGCAATTGAGGGAGTGCGGGAGGTGATCTTCAGACTAGGTAAGACACATCATTTTATTTTATTGAGCGGATATGGGCCAAGTAATTCTTACCAACTTTTATACCAAATAAATTATTTGGTTACTTATTTGACAGATTATTTTATTTGACTACAACTGATGTTAGGAATAAAATATTTTAATTAATATTGCGTTAATTACAATGTTAAGTGTTATTCAGAGGAAGTTAAGTAGAAGGAGTGTTATTTAGAGGAAATGAAGAAAAGGTTAAAATTTATTGAGTTTTTAAACAAAATTTCAATTGTAAATAAATGTAGGTATATCACTTTGCGTTGGATTTAAAAATTATCGTCTAATCAGATTTTTTAGAGAGTCGGTTAAGGCTACATTTCATTTGGCCCATCTTCAATATATCGCTACATTTCATTTGGCCCATCTTCAATATATCGTTGAAGCCGTGGTAGCTCAGTGGTTAACGCTCGCTGTAAATATAACAGAACGCTAGTAACCCGGGTTCGATCCCCGCCGGCACCAATGAAAGTGTTAATTGCAATTTTAAGTGCTGATTTACCACGTGCTCGGCGGTGAAGGAAAACATCGTGAGGAAACCTGCATGTCTGAGGAATAAGAAAAAAAAATATTTCGAAGACATGTGAAGTTCGTCAACACGCATTTGGGCAGCGCGGCGGACACTTCCTTGCCCTAAACCCTCTCAGAAATGAGGGGGAGGCCTGAGCCCAGCAGTGGGACGTATATAGGCTGTAACTTTACTTTACTTTTACTTTACAATATATCGCTATAATCGCTTATAAACGCAACAAAGGACCAATTGAATCTCGGAATTATTACAATTTGCCATACTCTTTTATATTTGATTCCATTGCGCTTAGATATTGAATGACATACAAAATAAGATGAGCTTAAAACAAACTACAAAAATAATCACTAGGAATAAATTTGGTACCTAACAGTGACGTCATTGCCTCATAGAAGTTGGAAATAGTTTGTCCTGCTTTAATATGTCTTTACGCAATATTTTTGTTTCACCTCCCAGAAATTGGCGTTGCTTTCGTTAAATCAATCGTTTGGAGTCGTTAGATAAATCACAATTAAACAGTGGCTAACATTTGGAAATTATTCGATAGTTGATTAAAAGTTAAAGCCTATAGTCTTCCACTGCTGGGCGGAAATGTCCGCCGCAATGCCCAAATGCTTGTTGGCAAACTTCACATGTCTTCGATATTTTTTCTTTCTTATCTCTAATACACTAAGCACGTGCTAAATCGGCACTTGGAATTGCTATTACCAATTTCATTGGTGCCGGCGGGGATCGAACCCGGGTTGCTCGCGTACAAATTTACAGCGAAACGTAGCCCCTGAGCTACCACGGCTCTCAGGTATGACGGCAGTTGATTAGCGAAATAATTTTATTTGTTAGGTTATTAATAGACTAAAATATAATAAAAATATATTTGAATTTGAATGTGAATAGACATTCTGTCTCAAGATTGATAAAACATTCAGAAATTTGTGTAGTGGCGGTGTAAGAATATCTACTGCCTGAATATATACTCTCCTGATCACCCACTATATCATCTAGTGGGTGATCAGGAGATGGCAGGTGGCAGCAACTTCCTATAACCACTAAAAATAAAAAAATAAACTGCAGTTGCCAACCTGCTTGTCTATATAACTATGGTTAATATGAAGCAATCATATGCAAAATGGGGGAGGCCTATGTTCAGCAGTGGACTTTAATAGGCTGTAACGGTAAGTGACATCTGTCTCAAAAATAAAGTTACGTAAATTAAAAAAAATAAGAAACAGATTTTGAATAAAATTCAATCAATATTATCACCACCCTCATGCCGTTCTATTAAAATAAAATGAAAAATGAAACTCTAGACGCTAGTTTATCGACTAAACTGGCGATATATTGAAGATGGGCCAAAATAAAAGTATCCGTAATCAACGAGCATGTATGTGTAGGTACATTAATGTGATAATGCAAGAGAGGTGTGGAGAGTGTTCAAGAAAGGATCGTGCCAAATTAAAGTCTGTAATAATAATTGAAAATAAATCGTCTATTTTCAATCGCTATTCCCCAAATGATAGCGAATTAATTAAATTATAATCTTACTTAACTAATGATTAGCCATTGTGAGACAGTGGAAGCAGTACAAGGATACCCTGTGCTACAGTTTTCCGAACCATCGGTCTATCATTATGGTTTTGTAACTAAACGTTAAATGAATTAAGGTTACACACTTCAAAAAACTAACGAGCACACAGTCCACCTGATGTTAAGTGAATACTGTGACGTCTTGACATACTATGCTATGACCTATGGACATCTACATTTATTCCCGATTAAAAATCAAAACGCAGATGCGTTGTAACCCCTGAAGACTAAGATGGAATGCCTCGTTTCCAATCAAAAAAGGGTGTCCGGATCTCTAAACTCACCGTACGAAACACAGCAGTATTAGGATGCTATTTTACGCTGGTACTCTGTGAGAGCGTGGCCCTTCCTTGGTCGAGTCGATCCATTCTTGCTACAACCATAATAAAGCTGCAATGTGAACGTGACATGTGTGTTTACATTCAGTACAAAAATTCATCAAAAACCAGTATTCCGTAGTCTCTGCCTACCCCTCTGAGGGACAGATGTGTTTCTGTAAAAAGAAAAATACATTGTAGATAACTCACCTCACTGCATTCGGTCTTAATTATTACGCTCGTTTGGTCAATCAAAAACAACATTTCATTGTAATACCAAAGTGTTGGTTGTTGTACATCATCAGGGGAAATACCAGAGCGTCTAGCTTTGTTTATTTTATTTCTTTCCTTGTTGAAATTTGTGCGTAGCGTGTTTATTTTCTTCTTTAATTCCTCTTCTGAATACGTTGGTTTATAAATTCGCAGAGATCTGATAATGTTTTGCAATGCTACTGACCGTTTACTTTTGTCCACGTAATCTTTTCTTTTGGCGTTCCATAACACAGGACTGTCCCTATACAATGAAATGAGATATAACACAAAATCACGCTCTGATATGTCGCTAGTGCCAGTGCCCACATGTTTACGCGCGTCCGCCATGTTTGGACGCGAGGTCGCTATTATAAATAACGATTGTCATTGGCTGTCCTAGAACGTCAATGCATGGCGCGTTGCGCGTCAATTGCTATCAATCGATTTTTCGTCATTTGCTATCGATGCCGCATAATTGAGTCATTTCAATTGTAGTAGACGATCAATATTCGCTTTGCATAAATGAATGTATTCACGTGAATATTGGCAATCGCATTGGACCGTTTCGCTCTTGAGTACTGCTTATATATAATATATTATTTACGTTATAATAAATTTATTTAATTTACGTATGACTCAAAATAAAAAAAATAATGTGCGTTCGGGGGACCTTGTAAGACTCGAAGTTCCTTTTATTATTTTATAACTTGAAATTTGATTTAATATGTAGATTTCAATTGATTTAAGTGTTTTTTAATTATTTTTAATTTAAATTGATTAAATTAATTAAATTATTATATTGATCTAGATACTCGCTCAAGTACATACATACCGTTATTTGTCTGTGCTACCGTTTATAATAGAAAGAGACAAGAGAGAAAGAGAAAGAGAGGGAAAGGCCGCCTGAATGGGGCATTACTTTTTTCCTTACGTGGCCAGTTCTAGTCCCTCTATTGTAAGCCGCGTAAAAGAACTTCGTTTCAAAATGCATTCTACAATGCCCTAAAAATATCATTAATTATTTTTAATCAGACTAGTCTTTTGTTTTAAATAATTTACTTAGGTTAGAAACCAATTATTTAATCTAAGAGTACAGAATGGGCTAACGAAGTGTCCACTAGAACTCATGGACACCGACTATCTATACATAATAATGTCCTCCATACCGAATTTCGGTCACGGCGGCCTGCCTCAAGGAGACTAGAGGCGCGGCCAGTAGTGTATGCGCAAGCACAGGTGCATTCTCTCTCACTCGTAATCCGATGGGACGGTAAACCAACACGACCGGAGAGAGATCAGGCGCAGGACCAATGGCTTTACGTGCTTTCTGAGGCACGGGGGTTAGACACCACCAACTTACCTGCCGGTACCGGGGTGAAGCTACTGAGAATGTCTTGACGGAAAAACTCAACAACTGATTTTTTGGCCCGACCCGGGATTCAAATCCAGGACCTCATGATCGGCAGTCGCGCTACTACAACGACTAGACTAATTAAGTAGAGGTGTAGTAACTATACATGTACTGATATGAAATGCTTCACAGTCTAACTGTCTTCCTTAACGTTCTGACTGGAATATATAGTACACTCACACACTGCTGCTTGTGAACAGAATCAGGTAAGAGAGTGTAGTAACTATCCAGATGGACGCCCAGGTAGCAAGAGCCCATCCTACCTACTTAATTTAAAAAAAAGTAACATTTAAGTTTCTTTGAGATTTGTTTAAATTTAAACCGATTCTTGGTGATGTAAGAGAATGCATCACCACATTTCGTCTGATAAGTCATAAAAGACGACTACGGGAAATGCTAAAAAGACCTTAGCATCTGATAGATCGCGGTACCTCGTTTACGCCAGGCGTAAAATACGTGACAACGGGAAGTAGCGAGAAAGTTATAGCGGTCCCCAAACCAAATAAAAAGCATCGCGACATGACGCGATATGATAAATTCCGACATCAAGAGAGTTCCAGTTTCAATCAGAAACAGAAATAGAAACTTTTTATTCGTATATGGATTATAAATAATACTTATTGAAAGTCACTTTTTTAATTTACCACTGGTCAAAAAAATTCTCTGTCGAGGGAGGAATCAGCAAGAAACCAAGCGGGACAATTTTTTTAAATAGCAGCATACAATCATGTATGTTAGAATGAATAACACAAAACAAATTAGAAATATCTTGGTAGCGATCACCTTGGGAGTGGGTTATTATCATCCTTAATCATAGCAGTGGAGTCTGCTACAAATTAATTTAATTCCTTCCTCTTCGTTTCATCATCGGACAACCAGACGCTCTGCCGGTGGAGACTGTGATAAACAGTTTGCGTACAGCAAAGAAGTGGAATAAGTTGCCAGCATCTCTCTTTCTACCCAACGTGGAAATTAAAAATCCCAAATTACAATGGGGGTTTTTCCTAGGCAAGAGTGTAGTGGGTTTTGAAAAGAATATTTCCGCCAAAACAATATTCAGTTTTTGTATTGGTGTGTGTCCCTCCTTTCCAATAAAACTATTCTAGATAAGCACTAGTCGGTCACGTGTGTGTTGTTCCCATTACATGTGTTTAAGCGAGTAATCAACACTTTTTTTCGCTAGTTACTTATGCCTACCGAGACCTTGCAAGCAATTAGGAAGTCGCCTACAATACAGCATCTCCTGCTAAGCAAATAACAGCACGCGACCTAAGAATATTCAACACAGTACCATCAGGAAGTCACCTACTGCCTGCTAAGCAAAAACCCAGCCCGTCTTTAAAGATGTGACCATAGATATAATCTGTTTTTAATATTTCTTTGGATGTGACTTACGTGACGTAAGAATATTCACTATAAAAACCAAGGTACATTGTTAAGACAGCTCAGTAATAATTAAGTTAGTTTGTAAGTTAAGTTGTCTAGTATTCCTGTATACTCTCATTGTCACAATAGTTAACTTGTAAGTTAGAAAATAAAAGTAATATGGGAAAAAGTCTTCGTCTCCATCCACTTCAACCCTCCCTAAGCTGCCGCAAACGTAAGTCGCTCTCAATTCTAATAATATATGAGTATAACAAACAAGAAAAACACGTACGTTGATCATGAATTTACGTGACGATGATCATGTGAAATGATTCTATTGATAATACTGGGTTATAGTGATGTATTTATTGTATTGTAGTCGATTTTTAATCATCATCATTATTATTAATCATTGTTACAGTCTATCAAAGGTCTACTGTTGTACATATGTAAATCAAGGACAATTTTTATGGGGGAGGGTAGGAGTGTTAACGCGTCTATATTTTAATGCCGAATCAAGGATGTATGCAGATGTCTAAGATCTATAGCATTCACTTACTATCGAGTGGACTGTGACTTGTGACTGCGTTCGGAGGCTTGAAATAAAAAAATTAAAAATGAAATGCCCACGGGATAAAATCATGCCAGTGATTCTCTTTCGTCGCAACCACACGACAAGCAAATTGTTACGCACTAAAGATCTATCTTTACCCGACTGCCCCAGTAGGGGGGTAATGTTTTTGGAGGGTATATATGGGTTAATGGATTGTAACATATGAGGTGTCGTTAGATTTATCTTATTTGTTTGAGTATCAAAGGCTGTATTATATTTATATGTTGCATCTCAGTATTTTTAAGCAGTTTTTTCATCACTGTTTTAACCATTAAGCTTTTTGTTTGAAAAGTTTTCGACAAAAAGTTCTTTATATTATTGAAATACAAACATTCGTCATTCACGCATCATTAAACGGTCCCAATTTTCCTTCTGTATATCTCTTAAATAAGAGCCGTGGTAGCTCAGTGGTTAACGCTCGCTGTAAATATAACAGAACGCGAGTAACCCGGGTTCGATCCCCGCCGGCACCAATGAAATTTTTAATTGCAATTTTAAGTGCTGATTTACCACGTGCTCGGCGGTGAAGGAAAACATCGTGAGGAAACCTGCATGTCTGAGGAATAAGAAAAAAAATATTTCGAAGACATGTGAAGTTCGTCAACACGCATTTGGGCAGCGCGGCGGACACTTCCTTGCCCTAAACCCTCTCAGAAATGAGGGGAGGCCTGAGCCCAGCAGTGGGACGTATATAGGCTGTAACTTTACTTTACTTTACTTTTATATCTCTTAAATAAGGTACCTTACCCAAGCCTGAAAAAGGGATATCAGGAAAGTCATCATAAAACACGTTAAATACTTATTACAAATTTAGTTTTAGTAAGCTTAAGGTCACTCAGTAAGCTATGGAGAGGGTTATTCTAAGAGTTTCTCTGTGAGATAGATTTCTTAATGAGGATATCTGCAGTAGAACCAGAGTTACCAACAAAGTCTAACGAATCAGTGAGATGAAGTGAGAAAGGGTTGGCTATATAGATCGAAGAACTGACAACTGATGAGGAAGAAATCGTATTGGTAAGGAAAGTGCCACCCAGTGAATAGAGTGACTTCTGTTCTGCTGTGACTGCTCTGGTTTTGCTGCTGATATCCTCATTTCTAATTCCATCACATAGAGAACCTTTGAGGATAGCCATCGCTCGCTGAGTGACCTTGAGCTTCTTCATACGGCCAGCAGTGAAGGACTACGTCTCAGATAAATATGCCGACACTGGTAACACACAATTGTGTTTTTAAGTTTTAAGGCATAAGTGAGAAAATGATATATCGTAATCCCGAAGAAAGTTTCTCGAGTAGCAGTATCGTATCGGTTAGCGAAGAGTAGATAGATACTCACTAGATGGAGTGAAGGCCTGGTAAGAGATGCCGCAAGTCGATAATTGCAGGTGGCTCGGGTGCCTTAAGGCATTTTAAGGAAGATCAATGTACAGTGGACTGTTATAAATTAATAAATAAAATGTTTTTAATTTTTTTAAGATTTTCCTTAAATGTTAGTCGACTGCAAAGCCTTTACACTATATAAAGCCTTTGCGGTCGTGCACTAGAAATGAAAATAGAAATGGACAAAGGCAAAAATACTTTCAGTGAAATCTCGTTACGCAAGGAAAGCGTTCGATTCCCAGATCTTGCCAAAGGCAGGCGGATATTTGGCTTCCAGCTCAGGAAATGAAATATATCTTGCTTTGAACGGGAAACGATGAAATTTTATTACACATTATATACTTTCTATCATTTGCGCTGTGTGCGCGTTTGTTACCTTTTTTGTATAGAAAAAGGGTTTTGTTTTTTATCGCGTCCAGTCCGTACATATGTTTAAGCGAGTAATCAACACTTCTTTCTCGCTAGTTACATAAGCCTACCGAGACCCTGCAAGCAATCATGAAGTCACCTACCATACAGCATCGCTGCTAAGCAAATGTTAAAAAAATGTTAAGAATATTCAACACAGTGCCATCAGGAAGT